GGGCATTTGACTGCTAACCAGAAGGCTGGTGGTTCAAACTCACCAGCCACTCCTCAGAAGGAAGGTTGGGTGATCTACTTCTGTAGTTATACTGCCTCGGAAACCCAAGGAGGGGTCACTGTGAGTTGGATCCAACTTGAAGGCAGTAAGTTTGGTTTGGTTTATGTAAAGAATGGTTTCATAATCATTTATAAAGATAGCATCCTGTGATAGGGAGATATGCTAAAACTAACAAATGAAAAAAAAAAACTCACCGAAAGCTTAATGTATTCAGATATTTCTAGATATAATAGTAGACTAAGGGAAAAAACAGTGAAATGACTAGACTCTTGTTGTAGATTGGACTGGAGTACTTATTTCCAAATAGTTTTTGTAGTAAATTTTGTTTTCTTCAAATTTTTATTGTGATTTGGGTGAAATTCAGTAACAGGTTCTTACCCTTGCTTCTGTTATTATTTTTAATTGTGATTTGGGTGAAAGTTTACAAAGTAAATTCATTTTTTCATGCAGCAGTTCATACACATTATGTTTCATGATGTTGACTACAATTCCCCACAATATAACAACTCTCTTCCCACTTCCTCCCTGTAGTTACCTCTTCCCTGTCCTTCCCTCCCATGTACTCCCTCCCCATGAGCTATCTCCCTGTGCAAATACTGCCCTTCAGTTCTCCCACGGTTGATGGCTCCAAGGAGTGTATCTACCTGATGCAAATGTTCACCCTATATTCCTGTCTATTGTTTGACTGGAAGCCACAGGAGTGAGTTCATTTCCAGACCTGAAGGGTTACTAGAGGCCGTAGTCTTGGAGGTCTCACCAGGCTCTATCAGACCAGTAAACCTGGCCTTTTTTTTTTTTTATGATTTTGAGTTTTGTTCTACATTGTTCTCCCAATCTCTTCAGGATCTCCTGCACTGATCCCTTTCCGAGAGGTGACAGTGGTAGCTGAGCACCATCTAGTTTTTCTGGTCTCATGATCATATAGGCTGAGGATTGCACAGTCTACTAGTCCTTTGGACTAATTGTTTCCATGCATCTTGGGATTTCTTCATTTTTCTTTGTTCTGGATGAGGAGAGACCCATTGTTGCATCTAGATGGCTGCTTGCAAGCTTTTAAGACCCCAGGGCTATTCACCAAAGTAGGAGGTGGAACAATGTTTTTGTGTAGTATATTATTGCCAGTTGAGCTTCACGTGCCCTGTGACCATGGTCCTGAGCCCACAGGTGCAACTACTTGCTCCCTCAGGGTAGCTGGCTGTGGTCAAGAAGCCACCATAACCTTCCCCCTTATCAGCTCTACTATATACCTGGGCTGTCTTACAGCACATACAAATACACATGTAGATACGTCATCTGCCTATCCATGGTGATGGGCATCCTCTCCCCTGCCCTGATCGTTCAGCCTGTCTACCCGTAGATCAATGTTTGCCTTCACTGACAGTGCAGTACTGTAATAACTCTCTGCACATGCTAAAGGGTTCATCTTTGTTGTATGTACCTCCTGTGTACCTCTGTTTTCCTTTTCCTCTTTGCCACCGTGTTGATCACTCACTTTTGTTACATTGCCCCTCCCTTCACCCAAATCAGTATTTATCTCTGCCTGTCTAGCAATGTTCCCTCCCATTTGTAGTAACTTTCACTGCAATGCCTAAATCTTTTCTTGTGGTCATAATAGGGTAAAATCCTGCTATTCAAAGTAGAGTGAGTTATTGTATAAGTGAGACTTTGGTTGGGTTATATTTATTCTAAAACCTAGTTGACAACAATTATTTCTAAAATCAGCTATAATTTCTGTCATGTTTACAGTGAATGATACCCCCTGCCAGCCCAGGAGCTTTTCAGCTAGATGCCCCAGAACTTTACCTGTGGTATTTCATAATCTTAGCTCCTGTACTAACTTTCTTCTGAGACATTTACTCTTTGTCTCCTGGCATCATGATTTTTAAAGTGATTTCCATCACTATGTGCCTGTAGTTTATCGCTTCCAGTGAAAAAAGACTATTTCACTGCTGTCCTTGGGAGAGGGTTTTCTCCACAGTGAAGATTTAAATGTCACTGACCTGTGCAAAAAAATGGTTGGTTTGATTGAGGAGTTGGAAGCAGATAACTGGGAAGCTTGTAGAACATTTTGGGGAAGGTAAATAAGGAAGGAGGAGGTCTTGGGTGGCATAGACATTTATGTGCTTGACTGTTATGTGAAAGGTGGCAGTTCATACCCACCTGGAAGTTCTGCGGAAGACAGCGCTGGCAATTTGTTTCTGAAAGGTCACAGCCTTGGAAACCAAGGAGCAACTCTGCTCTGCACACGTGGAGTTGCCATGAGTAGGAATCAGTGGTGACTAACAATTACAGCAAGAATAGGGTGAATGTAACGAAAATGAAGGTTAAATTGAGGACAATATAATTGGTGGGCTTGGCTGGAAACACGTTAGGATATGAGGGCTTAAAGCAGAAAAGTAGATGGAAAGTATACCCATATCCTTTATTTAAAAAGTCTAATACACCTAACAGAGAGAGAAAAGAAACTTCGCTTCCCTCTTGTGGGCAAAATTTCCTTTTGTTGTCAATAGTTTAGACTTTGGGGGTTATACACTCTTTGTTGCAACTCTTCAACTCTGCTATAGCATGAAACAACCATATACTATACTTAAAAGAGTTAGTGGTTGTGTTCCAATAAAACTGTATTCATGGACACTGAAATTTGGATTTCATCATCATCTCATGTCATAAAATAGTATTCTTCTGATTTTATTAAACTATTTAACAATGTAAAAAGACATTCTAAGCTCAAGGCCTGAGTAATAATAAACAGCCAGCTGGATATGGCCAGGAAGCGAAAGTTTGCTGACCCTGATAAAGAGTCTTAAACAAGCCCAATATTCTTTGTTAATGTGATAAAAAAAAATTGGAATTTACTCAATTTTTTTTTATGATTTTGAGTTTTGTTCTACATTGTTCTCCCAATCTCTCCAGGATCTCCTGCACTGATCCCTTTCCGAGTGGTTGACAGTGGTAGCTGTGGACCAGCTAGTTCTTCTGGTCTCATGATCATATAGTTTTATAATGCCAGGGTTTTAAACTTAGTTAGGTTGTAAATAGATTGGGTTAAATGAAAATTCAGGGATGACCAGGCCCTGATGTGCCTTTTGCAGGTAAATACAATTCTTTATTATAAAAATGAACTGCAAATTGGGAAAGAAAATTGTTATCTCACAAATATTGTAGATGTCAGTAGAGAAGGTTTATTCCTGGATATGCTAGCAAATTGATTTTATAACTTTATATAAAAGTGTTTTGTTTTCTCATTTCTTCCTTGAAAATAAGAATCTATGATTCCTGTCAGCCACCGGGCTATTGTGTGGATTAATGAAGTAATGGTTACAAAACATGTTGAAATTTGTTAATGGAAATATCCAAATAAAATGTTTATAGTAAATCATTCCTTTTCAATGTTTTTAAAATATATAGTCCTACAAAATAAATAACAGTTGTTGGGGAAAATTTAAAAATCTGGAGCATTTGACATTCTTAAGGAAGGAAAATATTTTATAAATGTTTTCTAGTTATATATATATAAATTAAAAAAAAGTTTTTGTTTAGGAAAAAAAAATGGTAAGTCACATGGATGATAAAAGTGCTTCTGCATATTTTCTGTGTAAAATGAACTTCTTATTTCTTTCTTTAGTTTTAATACCAAGTTGGATAGAACATGCTCTGTCTTGCATACCCAAAGCAGAAAAGCTTAGTGTTGTTTGTATTGGTAGGCCCAGTGAACAGAAAATATCAGAAAGGAGGGGACAAGAGAGGAGTAGCAGGGAAGGTCGGTTAGCCTTGGGAGTATAATTCTTCTGAGACACTGGTTTGTTAAATCCATTTATCAAACATTTATGGAGTACTCACTGTATGCTTGATATAATGTAGTATACAGTTTGAGCTTTGCCTTGTAAAAGTAGCAAAGATAAATAATTATTAACAATAATTAACAAATGGTTAACCTCCAGCAAATTAAATGTGCCCAAAATATTTGGTAACAGAGTGACTAATTCCTTTGTTTCCTAGTTAAGCATGAAGGGAATAACATTTCATTGACTGAGGAAGAAGAGTAGTAATAAATAATCTTTACCATCTACTTAGTGTTTTGTGTGAATGTAAGATTAATAAGAGATCTTTATTTTTTTACTTCTATTTCAACAGAGGAACTAACTCTCTATTAAATGGAATTGAAATTAATTTTTAATGTTTGATTCTGGTTTGAGAAGAAAAATGAAATGTGAATGATATACTTGGTCTTGCTTGCAGATTGATTTATAGTGAAGTACTTTGCTAACATTTTTTCTATGATTCTTTGTTAAAACCTTTCCAATAACATTCCATTTTCTTCACAGAATAAAGTTTACTGTTGTTCTCTACTGTGTTAGCATGTAATTAGCTAAAAGAATATAGGAAAAAGATTAAGGGTTGAAAGTATGTGGGATATAACTTCCTCTGTAAAGTTACAGAGGGAAAAAACATTTGAGGGCTATTAATAGAAAGAATAGAGGTTGTATGAAGTATCATTATAGTAGTAAATTTAACACATTTGTCCTCTGGTTGCTTCATTTCTCATAATTAAGTTTTAGTAGAATCTTTAGATTGAAGAAACATCGATTAAACATGACAATCTGCTTCATAAGTGATGGGACCTCTTGTACAGTGTCTGGGCAATTGGTACTTTGTCATCTTTTGATATCATCTAGATCAAAGCTGTATTTGAAGTTTGCTTCTGTGATCACTTTTGAATTTTTTTAATAATAAAATAGACTTTTATTACTATTCTCCCACATTTGTCCAGAAAAGATTATGGTCATTTTTCAGTATGGTAGATAATTAAAATCCAGGCAATTTAAGCAATCCATAGTATTATGTGAAGGCTAGAATCTTCTTTATACTCTTCTTATTAAATGTAGACATTTTTTCCTCTTCACAATAATTTCAAAAGCTATCTCTGAATCTTCCCACAGAATGATGACCAGCAAGAAGTGATCCTTACCAGAACAGATCAGTCTGGAAGAGTATGGCCTGTCAACACACCAGGAAAAGCCCTGGAGTCAAAAGGAGGAAGGACAAGGAGACAGATGGTATGTTTAACATTTTGTCTTTGTTTATTAACTGAAAATTCTATTTTATTTTTTTTTCCCAAAATCCTTGGGGCTTTCTTTGTATCCGACTACTTCAAAGTGTTTTCCAAAATGTAGCTTTCTACTGCAAACATTAGAAAATAGTAAAATTATGTTACTCCTTTTATTCTTTGTTCTATCCTTTTGTTTTTATAAGATATCATTTAATTCAACCACTTTGTTTTTTTTACATTTTTAACTTGATTCACCCTCATACTCATATACTTCTGTATCAGTATCTTTTAAAATTTTGTTTTGTTTTGTTTTTTGTTGAGAATATATATATACACAGCAAAATGTATACCAATTCAACAGTTTCTACATGTGCCTTTTAGTGACATTGATTATATTCATAAAGTTGTGTGACCATTCCATTCTCTTTTTCTTAATTGATCCTCCTCCATTAAAATAAATTCACTGCCACCTAAGATTCCTATCTAATCCTTCAAGGTGCTCTTATCACTTGTTCCCATATACGTAATTCTTAAAAGAATATAATGCTCAAAGCAGACATTTTTTTTTTTTTAAATTGTGATTTGGGTGAAGATTTACAGAGCAAATTCACTTTCTATACAGCAGTTCACATATACTTTGTCTCATGTTATTGGCCACAGTTTACCACAATGCAACAGCTCCCCTCCCACTTCCTCCACATAGTTACCTCATCCCAGTATGCATCCCTCCATGCATTCCTGCCCCGTGAGCTGTCTCCCTGTGCATAAGCAGCCCTTCCTTCTCCCATAATTGTTCTCTCCAGGGCGTGTGTCTACTTGAGGTAAATGTTTAACTCAC